GCTGATGTGTCCCTTTTAATTGCAAACCCTCCTGCCTGTCTTGGACTTTCCTGGTGGTGTATTCTAACACAAAGTTAAAGAGCAATATTTTTGACGTAAATACGTCTATATTTTCGGGTCAGTGTCATTCGCCAAAAAGTGGAACGAAAAAGTGTAACTGCATTGCTATGTTACCAAGGAAACGTCATCTGTTTACTTAGCATTATTGTTGCCTATAAAACATTTCATTACATTACCTTACATTACATTCTGGTGTGAGGTGAGTAGAGGAGTAGGAGTAGAGTGAGTGGAGAGTGAGTGAGTGGAGGATTGGGAGTGGACGAGACCCCCACCGGCACAGCCTGGAGAGAGGTAGGGACGATGCTTGCGCTTACGCAGGCCTCCGCCCTCAGTTAGCTTTTTGGTTGTGTCCAGTGGGACTCGTGTCGAACGAGGGCTGCCAGAGGTCGCCCAAGGGCAACCGAGGGCGACCGATGTTCAGCAAGCCAGCCGAGGCCGTCCCCAAAAGACGGCCAAGTCGGCACAACGAGTGGTTAGACTACTCGGCTACCCTGACTGAGGTTTTCCGTGCTTTTCCTCAGTTGTAAGGCGAATGCCAGGGTATAACTTAATAGGGGCACGGCCCGCCACCCCCCGATCATGGAGGCCATCAGCTGAAGTGATCTACCCCCCATGCCGCAGAGGCCTTCAGCCGAAACGGCCCCTCCCTCTCTGGGTTCAAACCCCAGAGATCCAACCAACCAAATTCGACTGTTTACCATTTCCAGCAATGCGCCTTGTGCGCAGGAATGGTTTCACCTAGGTAGGGACGATGCTTGCGCTTGCGCAGGCCTCCGCCCTCAGTTAGCTTTTTGGTTGGTTGGTTGGTTTTTTCCTTACATTACATTACCTTACCTTACCTTCTCTTACCTTACCTTACATTACATTACATTACCTTACCTTACCTTACATTACCTTACCTTACATTACATTAAAATACATTATTTTACATTACATTCAGCTACCACAGACCCATCTTAAGCGTAACTAATTCAAGTTAAACAAGCAAAGTCTTAATCAAACTTATCTCAATTGTAAAGCGGGTATAAAGGAAATATTTAGAATAAAGCCAATATATAAACTTCCTTTCCGTATAGACGTATTTACGTCTAATTCTCCGGACCGTGGTTCCACTATCACTTTTTATTTTATTTTATACGACCCGTTTTTCAGTGCCTGAGCATCAGCGAGTCCCAACTTTTTGTTAGCTTTGATCTATAGACAATTGGTAGGACTCCTTGGACGGGGGATCGGCCCGTCGCAAGGCCTCTACATATACACAGGACAGCACACCCCAGAAAGACGCAAATAAACATCAATGGCTTCAGTGGGATTCGAACACACGATCCTAGTGACCACGCGGCCAGTGTGACGGCATAGAGACAAAGAATCCCCTTGTTTCAGACCGTTCTTGATGGAAAATGAGTCAGATAAATATTTACCTATACAAATTTTGCTACAGGTTACATTTAAGCACATTTTTATTAGACTCCCTAGCTTGTTTGGTATACCAAATTCAATGAGAATATTGTATAACACTTCTCTCTTAACACAGTTATCGGTCTGTTTGAAATCTATAAATAACTGATGTACGGCCCCACTGTACCCCTATTTTTCTGTAGTATCTGCAGGATGCAGGAGATCTGATCAGTTGTTGATCTGTTATGTCTGAACACACATTAATGATCCTCAATAATTCCATTCACGTATGGAGATATTCTCGCCAGAAGTGCGTGTGATAGGATTATTTATGAAATTCCTCGGTAATTGCCACATTCAGTCTTTTCTCCCTTCATGTGAATTTGAATAATTATGGATTCCTTCCATTTTTGCATCTCTTCATTATCCCAAATAAACTGAATAAGCTTATGGATCTTCATATGCAACTTTTGTCACCTGCTTTAATTAATTCTACTGGAATTTGATCAACACCTGGTGATTTATAACTTTCCAATGGCTAGTTAAACTTCATCTAAACTATGTTCTGGCACTGAGAGTTCAGCTGTATGCATTTTAATCAATCTAACATCACCAGTCCTATGGTAATTAAGAACTGGTTAAAAAAAATTCCGTCTATTCAAAATTTGTTTGTACCTGCAGGTAAATTGCTATTATCATCTTTATCAAATTAGTCAGAGGTTGATATCTTTTACTAAATCATTTATGCCTGTGTACAGATCTCAGATATTATTGCACTTCTTTTGTTTCAAGCTCAAAAATTTTGCCTTTTAGATATTTCCTTTTCCTATTCGTAAAGGTTCCACTAGCTTCACGTTGCACAGATTATCCGTATTCGTTTTGTCTGGGTCCTGCAACCATTGACATTTTTGTTTGCTTCCTTCAGTCTATTAATTTTGAACAAAATTAAGTGATGGAGAGGCGAAGGAAAAATATCAAGTTGAAATTTCGAATAGGTTTCTAATTTTAGAGACAAATTAAGATAATGAATGTGTGGACATCAACAGGGAGCGGTAAAATGTCAGAAACTGCATCAAAATTTCAGCGAAAGAGAAACTAGGATACTACAGGAGAAAGCAAAATAAACCGTGGTTTGATGAAGACTGTTCCAAATTAATAGATCGAAGGACCCAAATAAAACAAATGCGGATAATCTATGTAACGTAAGACGTGAAGCTAGTAGAACCTTTAGGAATAAGAAAAGGGAATACCTGAAGGGCAAAATT